CCTCACCATCACCATCATCATCACTATCCTCATCACCCTCACCGTCATCATCACCATCCTTGCTTTAAGGGTTGCAAAGCTCCATTGTCTGAGTCTGGATTCGAACTCCAGGATTCCCGATTCCCCTGATTCTAGCTGCTGTTGCTGCCTCGCACCATCTTAGGATCCTAGGATTTAGAGCTGGAAGGACCCCTTGAGAGCAAGCCTGATGCTCTCATTTTACAGATGAAGAAATTGAGACCTAGACAGGTTAAGTAACTTGCCTAAGGCCATGTAGGTATAAGAAGGAAAGGAGGGATTTTCCCTAAATCATTTCCTACATTTCCAGAGCTGGTCATTTTCCTCCAGCACAGGTCTAACCATGCCCCAGTAATCTCCAATGACTCTCTGTTGCCTTTAGGATCAAATATTAAATCCTCTGGCATTCAAAGCCTTTCATAACCTGCCCCTCCTGTTAACTTTGCAGTCTTCTTGCACCTTGCTGTGAGGCATGGTACTTTTAGATCCAGTGACACTGGCCTTCTAGATGTTCTTCCAACAAGATGCTCCATCCCTCGGGTCTGGGTATTTTTTCTGGCTGTCCCCTATGCCTGGAATGCTCCCCCTCCTCATGTCTGCTTCGTGAGGCCCCTGGCTTCTTTCAAGTACGAATTAAAATCCCACTTTCCACACGAAGACTTTCTCACGCCCTCTTGATTCAACGGCCTTCCCTTATCCTGTCTATATCTTGCTTGTACATGTTTGTTTGTTATTTCCCTCATTGCACTGTGCCCTTCTTGAGGGCAGAAACTGTCTTTTGCCTCTTTTTGTATCCTCAGCACTGAGCACAGTACCTGGCACGTAGTAGGTGCTTAGTAAATGCTTCTTGACTGATCAAATTTGAACCCAGGCCCTCCTGACCAAAACTGTTTCCCCCCCTACTGGACTGTCTCCCATCTTCCTTCTCATCTCTTTCCCCATTTGTCTTTGACAAATGGCTTGTTTTGTTTTTATTTTAGTTCTCATTGAGGTCCCTGGCACTGAACTCAAAAGCTGCCTCAGCATTTCAAGGACAGGATGTCTTGTTGGTATAGGACTAGGTACTTCCTCCCCTCACAGAGATAGATCAGAATGCCTCTCTAGGTTGGACACTATATGGTACCATGGAAGAATGCTGACCTTGGAGTCATAGGACCTGAATTCAAATATTAACTCTGCACCTTATGAGCTGTGTGAACTTGGGCAAGCCCCTTCCCATCACTCTGGGCTTTAGTTTCCTCCTATATAAAATGGGGTGGTGGGGGGGAGGGGTTGGACCACATGGCCTCAAAGTTCCCTTAGCTCTAGTTCTGTGGTCCTTTGGGGTTTTCAAAGTGCTGTGGTTAAACTGGGCATTCTCACCCTGTCATCAGAGCTGCTTATTATTGGACCCAGAACTGGTACGTTTACGGCTTGGGGTAGGATCTGCCAGGCTGGTGTTTCATGGGCCCAGCCCTAGAATCTTGGTACTCTCTGTGCCACAGTGAGGAATGAGAGCTCCATGGGACTCTAAATTCACTGGATTTTGGCTAAAAGCCCTGGCCTTGACTAGATTGAGAGCTGGGAAGGACCCTGGAGATATCTAGGCCAACCTCCTCAATATACAGAGTGGGTTCAACAAAAGTAACCCACTGGATGTCATGCAACTACTGAAGGCCAGAGGCAGGCTTTGAACCCAGGTCTTCAGAAATCCAGTGCTCTCTTCCCCATGCTAGGCTGCATCTTCAAGAGTGCCTTGTACAGGTATTTCCTTTACTGTTGACTAAATGAATGCCATATATCACATGCTTACTTACTGGCATGTCCAGAGGTTCTTGGGGTTGTCTATGTAAGTCTTAGGTTGGATGTACAATTGACGCCTCTGGTTCCATTCCACTGCCTCTATCTTTTCTGTGGTATGAGGAACTCCTGGGAGAGTCTCCAAGGTCCAGCCTGGAGCCCTGGGAGAGGTACAATTCTTTGCCAGGGAGAATGATCTATGCCCCAGAGTGAAGGTCTCAGCTAACAAGGCCTTGCTGTTAAGCCCCCGGTTCTAGCTTGGCATGAAGGTGAAGCTAGTCCAGGCACCTTTGGGAGGCAGGAATCAGTCTTTGGAGAGAACAGATTTAATCTGAGCCCTTTTCACTTGAGAGGACCCTGAGGAGGAGCTGGCTGGGCACATGCCAATTAGGTAGGGATAGAACAGCTAGAAAACAGCAGGGAAGGAGGTGACCACAGAGCACTTATCCTAGTGCTTGAGGAGTGAGGTGAGGATTATAGGGTGTGTGTGTGTGTGTGTGTGTGTGTGTGTGTGTGTGTGCGCGCGCACACACATGCCAAGCCTATGTATTTGTGTGTATGTCTGCATGTATCTTTTGGTGTCTATGTGTGTGCTGGGGCCGAAGCTGGCCAGGGGAGGGGAGAGTGTAAGGTATAGTCTCATAGAGGAGTAGCTTGCCACACTGATGGTTAAATGGTTTGACCAAGGTCAGAAAACTGCTGGGCTTCAGAGCTAAGTATGAGCCCAGGTCTTCTGGACTCCCAGGCTGGCCCTGTGCTCACCATTCTATACTGCCTTAGCTTTGGTTGGTGCTGATTCTATGGACCAGAAATGGGATTTCCTTTGTGTCAGACCAGCTCCTGGTGAGGAAGCTCCCTCCCTGATACAGACTGGCCCCGTTCTGCCATCTTGAGTCTTACCTGACACTTGCTGCGTTCCCATCCATGTTACTTTCCTTCCTCCCTTTCTCCCTCCCTCCCTTCCTTCCTCTTTTTCTTCCTTCCTTCCTTCCTTCCTTCCTTCCTTCCTTCCTTCCTTCCTTCCTTCCTTCCTTCCTTCCTTCCTTCCTTCCTTCCTTCCTTCCTCCCTCCCTCCCTCCCTTCCTCCCTCCCTCCCTCCCTTCCTTTCCTCCCTTCCTTCCTCTTTTTCTTCCTTCCATCCATCCTTCCTTCCTTCCTTTTTTTCTTTCTTCTTCCCTTCCTCCCGCTCTCCCTCCTTCTTTCCTAATGTATTTATTGCTGAATGATTTATAATTTGTCCTTCCCACTCTCTTCCTCAATTAAACAACCCCCAAACCACGTTCTTCTTCACCTGTTTGGCAGGAGGAGAGCAGCGGGGTTATGCCTCCTCAGCCTCCTCAGCCTCCTCAGCCTCTTCAGCCTCCTCAATGTTCTGACTCCTGGTTTCTAATTTAATTGATCAGTGTAATCAGATCTTTCCGGGCTGATTGTCTCTGTAACCTTGCTGTTCCTGGAAAGTTGCCCTCCTAGCTCAGCCTATTTACAATGATTTGGTACCAGGCTCTCCTGTAAGGCAGAGAAGTGACCGCTTTTCTGGCTGCTAGCAATTGCTATGAATGAAGGAGAGTAGGGAGGGCAGGAAGGAAGGGAGGGGAAAGGAATAAGCATTTATATAGCACCCACAGTGTACTAGGCACTGTACCAAGTGCTTTACAATGGATCCTCACAACTCTTGCTTCTAATAGGAGGTGCTATTATTATCCCTATTTTACAGATGAAGAAACTGAGGTGAACAGAGGTTGAGCGACTTGCCCAGGGTCACACATCCAGTAAGTGTCTGAGGCCAGATTTGAAGCAAGTCTTCCTGGCTACAAGCCTAGTCTACTGAGCCACCCAGCTCCCTCAGCTATGCCTGAGTCAATGAAAAGGCATTTATTAAGCCCCAGGCACTATTTGCAAAACTGTGCTAAATGCTAGGGACACAAACAGAAAAGGCAGACAGTCCCTGCTCTCAAGGAGCTTACGTTCTAATTGGGGGGGGGGGGTGGGAAAGTGCGGTGGTCCTGAGGGTGCTGCCCGAGCAGATGGCGGTGTAGCTTCCTCAATGTCAGTCCCCGATAAAACAGTGCCCATTTTGGGTGCTGAGCCATTTGGGGGTGGGAACTCTTTTCGGTTCCTTTGTCGTTGTGGCCACAGTGGCACTTGCCAGACCACGTCTCCATACATGACTTCCCTGGATGTTGGCCTTGGGGGCTGGGCTGGGGGCTCTGCCATTGGGGGAGGATGCTGTTCCCAGGGCTCTGGGGCTCAGGTTCCATCAGGGTGTGGGAGGAGGGGATGGTGGCTTGTCCTGCCCGACATCTGCTGCCTTCTGTCTCTCAGGTTCTATTAAATTAGCGATGGCCATGGCATACCAGGCAGCCACACGTGGAGCCTGCTGCCTGGGTGCGCCATTTTGCTCTTAATGCCACACAGGGCTCTCACTCCCTCCCACTCTTGGTAAATAGGCTTTCATCCACCAGCAGCTGCCAGGCCATTTTGATCTCCTGACAAGTCGGTAATTAGATTGAACAGGAGTGAGGCTGCCCAGCTCCTGCTGGGCTGCCCAGAGGGTTATTTATGAAGGCTTAGGGGAATGGGTTTGGTGGTTCTGTGGAACATTCTGACAAATGGACATGATTGTCGGAGACTTTCAAATCTTTCCCATTCCGCCTTCACTCCGTACTCCCCCCAGCCATAAACAAAGAACCTATAGATTTGCCGAGTAATATCTATAGGCCTCTTGAACATCTGTTTACAAAACCCAAATTTACAAAACTGATACATGATTCGTTCAACCTCTCTCTTGACCCTTCCCTTCTTTCTGTGTGCCTGGTCACTCTTCCCTGCCCCCTCCATTCATGTCTTTCTCTCCCCTTGCCAGCTACATTGCAATGGCATCTTAGCTCCATAGGAGCAGGGCCATGAGCTCACAGATAGCAATCTAGGAGGGTTTTTTCCAGGGTGTAGGAGACATGCACATGCTTATAGGCAGTATTAGATGGCAGGGAGGCTGAAGATTTGAGAGTGAGTGGGGGCAGTAGGTGGGGCAATCTGCTGCAGCCAAAAGGGAATGGGACCCTGGGTGCTGAGCCTTGTCTTGGAGGAGGGCTCCCTCTTTATCAGCCTGGAATGAAGGAGGAAAGAGTGAGAGATGGTGGTGGGGGTGGGGAGAGATGAAATGAGCTAAGGATCCTTCTAGCTCACAAGCTATGATGTCATGTTGAATAGCATGGTTGGATCCCTGGGGCCATCTGCTTGGGAAATTAGTTGACACTGGCCCATTTGTGACTGCTCTTGGTCCAGTGATTTAAGCAGTTTTGAATTCACCTGATGATATCTGGCAACATATCTTCACCTTGTCCACAAGTTACAGATTGGGAGACTTTGTTAGACAAAGTTACCTTAAGGATCAAATTAAAAACGCTCTGTTTGGGTCCTGAAAGCTCTTTGTAACCTGGCCCCGCCTACGTTTTCAGTCTTCTTTCTCCTCCATGTACTCTGTGATCCAGTAACACTGGCCTCCTGGCCGCTCCTCTAGACTCTGGGCATTTGGGAGCCCCTGGCTCCTTTTTTTAATTTTTATTTTATTCCCTGGCTCCTTCTTGTCTCTGTCCCTTGACTTTCCTAGCTTCCCACTGCAGGAATTCCTTCCTGATGCCCCTTTTTTGCCTTCTTTCTGAGATTATCTCCAATTTAGGTGGCTCAGTGGATAATGCACAGCGCCTGGAGTTAGGAAGACCAGAATTCAAATCCAGCTTCAGACACTTACTAGCTGTATGACCCTGTCACTTAACTTTAGTCAGCCTCAGTTTCCTCATCTCCAAAATGGGGATAATAATAACATCTCCCAGGGTTGTTGTGAGAATCAAATTGGTTAATACTTGTAAAGTACTTTGCAAACCTTTAGGTGCTGTCCAAGGTGCTAGCCCTCTTCCCCTTTGTCCTCTTCCTTTTCGACTGCATTTCTCTTATTAGTGATTTGGAGTGTTCTTGGATAAGTCACTTTCACGGCTCCACCCATTTTTCCTATTTCTGTCTTTTGTCATCTTTGCCAATTTGTTAGGTATCAGGGCTGCATAACTGTCACTTAAGCCCCTCCAGAGGGGCTGACTCCTCTTTCATGGTTCTTATCTGTCACCTGTGCTCCCACTTCTGGGGATTCTCTATCAATCTCTAGCTGCCAAAGGACTCACTCCAGGGAATCCAGCCAGTGGATGCCCCGCACATCTTTTGAGCTAGGAAGGGAAGTGGGGAAGTATTTGTCTTCATCAGTGGAAAAAAATGACTAAGGCACAGAGAGGCCGAGGTGCACATTCAGTATCACGCAGCCCCGAGTGGGGGCAGAGCTTGGTGACTTAGACTCTTCCGGCATGGCCGAGCAGCCTCTCTTTGTTGGTCAGGCTCCGCCCAGGCTGTCTGCTGTGCCTGGGATGCCCTCCTTCACCCCTGCCTCTTAGACTCCCTGGCTTCTTTCAATGCCCAGCTCACGAGGCCTCCTTTATGGGGCCTTCCCTGATCCCCTTCCCTGCCTCGCCTCTTGAGATTACCTTGTCTTTATATTATGTAAGTGTCTCTGTGTTGTTTTCCTCCAACAACGTGGCAAGCAAGGCCTTTGTCATTTTTATCTTTCTTTGGGCAGCTAGGGGGTTCAGTGGATAGTGCAGTGGACTCAGAATGAGAAAGACCTGAATTCAAATTCTGTCTCACATTTACTTAGCAAGTCACTTAGCTTTTCTCTGCCTCAGTGTCTTCATCTGTAAAATGGGGATGATAAAAGTAATTACCTCCCAGGGTTGTTGTGAGAATGAAATGAGACAATGCTAGGTCTTATTTGTCCCTACAGTAACCAGCACATGTTGTCGTTTGGTCATTCAGTGGCGTCCGTGGATTTTATCCGTGGGGTTTTCTTGGTAGAGATACTGGAGTGGCTTACCATTTCCTTCTCCAGTGTGGCCCCATTTTACAGGTGAGGGACTGAGGCAGATGGGGTTAGAAATGACTTGCCCAGGGTCACACAGTAAGTATCTGAGGACGGATTTGAACTCAGATCTTCCCCGACGCTAGGCCCGGTGCTTTATCCACTGTACCACCTAGCACAAAGAAAAAGCTTGCTGATTACTTGTCTCTTGTTGATTTATTGATATCCATAGCCTTTCTCCCTGATAGTAGGTAAGGGCAAGTCTCTACCTGAACTATTTAACAGGCGTTTATTAACTGTCTTTGAATTCTCACGCTGTGGCCTCATACCCAGGTAACTTGTGGGAAATCTCACTCTGGTGAGTTTTAGAACTGCAGACTTGCTCATCCACCCTCATGCCTTCTTTCTTCTGTCCTAGTTCTGCCCTTTATCAAGACAGGAGCGTTGAGGAGACTGAGGAGGAAGGAATGATTTCTGGGTTCCTGCCCTCCAGCTTTCAGGTGAGTTAAGACTTCCTCTCCTTCTCCTGAGATACCATTTCATTCCCCAAGCCAGAGACACCTTTCTTTCCCTTATCAGTGGGGGTGGCTCCGCCAAGCCCAGTGTAGGACGCCGAGCCCCACTGATTGTCTCCGGAGAGCGAGCCATTCCCGTGGAACCTCTCTAGAGTTCAGAGATCAGGGGTGAGGAGGCTGTGGCCTCGAGGCCACTTGTAACCTTGAGGGCACATGTAACCTTCTAGGCTGCAGGTTCCCCACCCTGTCGGAGATCCTTACAGCTGGGATGCCTCCGTAATAAAAACAGGCTCGTTTCAGAATGAATATTGACAGCTCCACGATGTCCACACCAGTGATCCAGCAGTTCAGTCCATAGGGCAGGAGGCCGGGCCAGGTGACTACAAAGGTTCCTTCCAGCTCCACAACGTTCTTTTCCCCATATTTGGTACCTTCACAGGGCGTGGTGGTGACCGGGTCTGGATTCTAGAAGACTCCTGAGGGCCTTCAGTGATGGGCAAGCCCTTTCAAAGTCAGGGTGGCTTAAAGCACTGACATAGTCATAGGCCATATGTCTGTCATCCAAGGACCAGCCTCAGTGTTTTTCAGGAAGCCCTTTCCCAGAAAGTTGGCCCCTGGGTGAGGAAGCTACCAAGAGTCACAAAGGCAGTCTGCTCAGGTGGGGAGAAGCCGTATTCTGTGGAAATGGAGGGAGGGCCCAAACCCATCTCTTAATCAGTCAACAAACGGTCCTTTAGCACTTCTCGGACCTGGCACCAATGAACTCAGAGATCTTTTGCTATATGTGCCAATGACTGTTTGTGTATACTTGTCACCGTGCCTTTGACATCCCCCTCTGATATCCGATCGTTCATTCACACTTTTAAAATATAAAGATCGCTCACTAGTGGCAGTCAATAGTGAAACTCTTAGTTCTGCTAAGTTTTACTTTGCGTTTTTCTCTTTCTGAATTTTTATCTACTCCTTGCGATGGACACAGAGTGCGTCCCATCACTTTGATAGGCTACAGTTTGTTGTACTCAACAGGGCAGCTAGCTGGTGCAGTGGAGAGAATGCTAAGCCTGGAGTCAGGGAGACCTGAATTCAAATCTGGCCTCAGAACCTTACTAGCAGTGTGACCCTGGGCGAGTCACTTGATCCTGTTTGCCTCAGTTTCCTCATCTGTCAAATGAACTGGAGAAAGAAATAGCCAATATCCTTGCCAAGAATACCCCAAATGGGGTCATGAAGAGCTGGACGTGACGAAATGACTGAACAACAACAAATCATGCCCATTTCCCATGCATTAAGCATTTAGGTTGTTTCCAAATTTTTATCTGTCTGTCTGTCCGTCTGTCTATCTCTCTCTTGCTAATCATAAAATAGCTAGCATTTAAATATCCACTTAAGGTTTGCCAACTATTTTACAATGATTATCTCATTTCATCCTCACGTCAACCCTGGGAGTGGGAGCTTTTATTTGCCTCCACTTTACAGACAAGGAAAGGGAGAGAACGAGAAGTGAAGGGGCATGCCTAGGGTCACTCAGCAAGGAAGTAGCTGAGGCAGGATTTGAACTCAGGTCTTAGTGACCTCAGGTCCATTGTTCCTGCTGCCTATTATCCAGACAAATAACACAGCATGTTCTAGCACACACCTGTCCCAATGGTTCCTTTAAACAATTGGATGCCTTGGGTCATAACCATAACTGGTTACAGGGTTTATGAATATGGCTAGTGGTCTAACTCTTCCAATATTAAAATTCTTTGGTTCTTCAAACTGTTGAAGCAACAATTCAAATTTTAATAAGATTCGTTCCTGAGGTGGCTATAGAAAGACTTTACATGGCTTTCCGTTCCCATTCATTCATTCTAGATTGGGAAGCCATTTGAACTGAAGAATCCAGCTTTCTTTTGCAGCCCAGGAGTCACAAATCCTCTTGGGAAAGTGGAGGCAAACAGTAGCATAATTGGGCATTTTGAGTTCTAGAAAGATCACGTGAAGCTAAAATTATGGGTTTGTTCTCTTGAGATGAAATTTAGTGGGGACTCACTTCCTCAGGGTCCTAGCGTGATGCCACCTCATCGTGGGGGTGAGTTGGAAAGGACCCTCGAGGCCATGTAACCCAACCCCCTCCTTTGACAAATGATGAGAAGGAAGCCCACAGAAGGGATGGGACCTACCTGTAGTCATGAAGGGAGTCAATGAAAGAGGCCGGATTTACACCTGGGGCCTCTGCTTCTGGGTTTGGTGCTCTGTCCTCTATATCTCTATATGAGGTGGCCTCTACACCTTGCAAGACATGCAGAGGGTCCTGGGTTCTTGAATACAATGGTAGCAGAGCACAAGTTTTGGCAGATTGTACCAAGCAGGCTGGGTCTCAAGCATAGGCTGGGCCTGCTCCTGGACTGCAGGTCAATTGGCTGAGGACCAGGTTGGCTGAGTGCAGAGAGGCTCAGTACCATGTTGGCTTTGGGCAAGAATTTCTTAAAAAATCACTCCAACTCCTGCTTAGTTATAGACAGGTTGCAGGCTGCGTCAGTGAATCTTTACCCTGATGACATCACAGATTTTGCTCTTCTCACCTCTGCAACGTCTATCCCATTTGTCCCTTTCTCTCTACTTATATCCCCATTGTGTTAATCTAGTTTCTTAACCATTCAATCTCTAGCCATGATAGGGCTAGACCATCTCTAGTTGTCCTGGTATCTGGCCACCGGACCCAGATGGCACCAGAGGAGAAAGTGAGGCTGGTGACCTTGCACAGCCCTTCCTCACTTAAATCCAATTCACTTGCAAGTCATGGCACCGTCTTCTTGATGTCATGGTCCTCTTTGAGAACAAAGGAGAAACTACACACAGCCAGGATAGGGAACTCTCCAGTTAAAGTGCCAGTCTTCTTAGAGGATCCTCAAAGATCACACTGGCTCTTTTGTAGACATTTTTGTTGACAACTCTTGTTTTTATGCAGTCTAAATTTCCTCCTGTGTCCCTTGCCCCATCCCAGATAGTCAGCTCATACAACAAAAGAATTTTTTATAGAAAAAAAGAAAGAGGTAGAGAAAAATCACCAAAATCAATCAGTATGTTAAAAGACTGACAGTACATGTAATGTTCTATACCTATGGACCCCCCTCACTCCATGTCTGCAAAGGAGTTGGGGGGGGTCTTTTCATGTTCCTCTTTTGGAGCCATGCTTGTTCTCAGTAATTTTTCAGTCGTCATTTTTGGTTGTTTTATGATTGTTCCTTCTATTGACATTGTGGTACATATGTATACTGGCTTCTTGGTTTTGCTTTCTTCAATTTGCGGTCTTTTAGTGTAGCCATTGCTAAGTCTTGTGTGATTCTGCTTGTGGCTCTGCCATATTTGAATTGTATTTTTTTCTTGTTTCTCATAATATTTTCTCCTTGAGTTAGGAGTTTTGGAATCTGACTATGGTATTCCCGTCTTTGCTCATACCGCTTCTTATGCCTCTAAAGTCCTTCCTACACCCTTCGCTATCTCTCAAAATACTTCCCATTTTTTAAGTCCTAGGGCAAATATCATCTCTTCTCTGAGGCATTTCCCTGATCATTCTCTCCCAATCAAGCAGTAACATTTCTTCCCTTGCATGTTGGGAAGTACTTGGTGGGTACCTCTTATATGCATGTTATTTTGTATTTCTATTATTTCTCTTTATCATAGTGTCTTGTACTAGATGATGCGTGGCATGAGGGCAGGGACCACAGTTTATTTTTCCACCTTTATGTCTTGCCTTGCTTTCTAGCACAGTGTCTAATAAATGTTTGGATTTGCTGGGGAACAATGTTCATGAAGGTCTCTACAATCAATCCAAAGAAAGGTGGCCGTTTTGAAGAGAGAGCACAATGGGCAAAATAGTGACTGGAGGTGGGGTGAACTCACACTTTACTCTAAGATTTACGATTTATTGTCTTGTGTTTCATTCTGCCTAGAATATGGTGATCAGTAATGGAGCATGATTGCTGATGTTAATGTGTATCTGTAAGGTACTAACCTTTTAAAGTGCTGACCTTTCATATGGAACAATTTGTTGTGAGTTAAATCTGCTTTCAGAGTGTTCATTTGTCTGGGGTATAGGTCTTTTCTGAGTTCTAAGATAAAACAGTTTTAGAAACATTTACTATGATTCAGAATTCTGTGACAGTTAATTGCTAATTTTTAAAAATGTAACCAGCTGTACTCTACTGGATCCATATGGACAACAAAATTGTTCAATGATGTAGACAGAAGATAAGAATTTAGCTGCTAAGTCTGTTAAGGTGGAGTTATTCTTTGTAGAGAAGGCCCAGAGTATGAACCCATAGAGATAAGAGAAGAGAGGTGAGAGGACAGATTTCACAACTATACCACCTAAGTGTGAAGCTGATGGTTACTACAGTTGTTGAGAAGGAAATCCAGCTGAGCAGAAGAATAGCTTGGCAACAGATAATCAGAGAAATTACCCAGCAGATCATCTGGTTTGACTCAGACAATGAGGTGTTAGTCAAGCATAGCTTGGGTCAACTCAGCTTAGCAATGGAACCATCCATTCAACATGGAAACAGTTCATCAAGAACATTTATGGAGCGATTATGAGACAGAGGACACTGAAGGCTTTAGTTCTAATACTGAATTACGATGATGGTTTTTTAAAAAATGTGATTCTTTGGCCTTTTTGCTAAGTTAACATTTAAGATCTAAAAGTGTAATTGTGAATGGCTGATTTTGTGTAAGGAGAAGTTCCTCAGTGGGGGATGACTAGAGGACATCGTTAGTTGGGGGGTGTGGCATTCCATCACAGCAGTGTGACCCATAGGACCCTGAGTGTGACCATGTGGTGGTTCTTCTCTGGGCACCAAGATCTGCCAGTGCAAGAACAGGTTGGAGAATGAGTCAAGTCAGAGAAGGCAGGAGAGGTGTGGGTGGCCACTGCACACTCCCATGGCATATCTAATGGAAAGACACATGCTCTTTGTATTAATAATACAATTTCAGACTTTAAATGACATGGCTTTCTCTTTAGCAAACGATTTGTTAGGCTGAACTTGAGCAATAGAGAACAAATATCTACATGCTGAACTCAACAGTGTTCAATACAACTCGAATCTCAGGTGCAGTGGAGAGAGTGCTGGCTTTGGAGTCACAAAGCTCTGAGTTCAAATGGGGCCTCAGACACTTAACTAGCCTGTGACCCTGGACAAGTCACTTAACCTCTGTTTGCCTCAGTTTCCTTATCTATAAAGTCAGAATAATAACAGCACTTATCTCCCAAGGTTGGGAAGATCAAATGGGAAAATATGTGTAAGGTACTTAGCACAGTGCCTGGCATGTAGTAGGTGCTATTTCAGTGTTAGCTCTTCTTTTCCTCCTCTTCTCTCTCCTCCTTGTCATTGTTGGCATCATCTTTGGCATAGAATGTACAGGTTAATGAGTGGGAAGAACCCTGAACTTGGAGCCATAAGACCCGAGTATGAATTCTGGCATGGACATGTATTTTGTGTACAGAATCACTTCTCTTCTCTGGGCCTCAGTTTCATCAGCAAAAATGAGGGGGTTGGATTAAGTGACCTTTCATTTATAGATCTAGGTTCCCATTATCCTGTCCAAAGCCCAGTATATCCCGACAATTCTCTGGCTCTTCCATGGATGGGTCTTAGGTGATCAGGAATTTGTCTGATGTTTCAGGAATCAGTGACATTCAAGGATGTGGCTGTGGACTTCACCCAGGAGGAGTGGAGAAGGCTGGGCCCTGCTCAGAGGGCCCTTTATAGGGAGGTGATGCTGGAGAACTATGAGAACCTGGTCTCTCTGGGTAAGGACCGCTTTCCCTTGGGACTCAGAAACTGTTCACTTGGATGTCATTTGAGTATCACTTGTTAAAGGATGGGCTGGAGGGGAATGTATATGTGTGTGTGTACCTAGAATGCTTAATCTGAATTTTGGATTTTTGTGCAGGAATACTCAGCACTTGGTATGATGTTAGGAGGTTCCATAATCCTTTGTGGTTGATTTTTTTTTGATATTTTGATATTTTTCCTCCCTGTCCCCAGCTGAAGCCCCATAGCTTCCTTGTGGTAGCCCTGAAGCTGCTACTCTGATATGCCAGGTCAAGACCATTGTGAAGGCCCTAGTCCTGTCACCTGAAGACCTGAAGTTTCCTACTCTTTTAGAAGGGAGGGGGATCGATGAACCAATGCTCTTTTTGCATCCAAATCAAACGTGTGATCCATTGTCTTGGACTTCTTTGGGAATCCAGCATATGCTGTAGAAGTCCTCGGTAGGGCCCTCACTCCAGGACATTCTGAGAGGCAGCTTGGCCCAGTGCATGGGAGCGTAGGGCTGCAGGATGCCATCTGTTTCAGTGGAAGAAGATTTTCTAAGACTGGCAGAATCATAGTTTTTTCGATGAATTGCTACTGGGTCCTTCTTCACTGCCCTCTTTTTAATTGAATTTTGAGTTGGCCCTCTGTCCCCAGAACTTTCCCTTTTCCTCTCTTCATGAATAGGGCTTCCAGTTTCCAAACCAGATGTTATCTCCCAGTTGGAGAGAGGTCGGGTGCCCTGGATGCCAGAGGGCGAAGTCTTAAGAGGCGTTTGTCCAGGTGAGTGAGTGACAGACAGCCATGGTGGACGAGAGCTCAGCGGCTTGGTTAGGTGGCTGCACCTTGGAAATGCTGGGCAGGGAGCTCTCCTCACAGAGGGGTCTGGGGGGAAAATCTTGGCCTAGTGTTGTGTGAATTCTCTTTTAGACCCCTTAACTCGCAACTCCCAATAAGCCAGCACAAGCCAGAGATGGGGACACTGCAGTTTTGATTCACTTGGGGTGAGACCCACTTTGCCAGCAGTCGAGGGAAATGTGTCTCTTAGAATCTGGCTGGTAATTATATGAGACAAAAAGAAAAAAACAGAGTGCTTGTCATAATGCAACTGATTACACAAAGAAAAGAGGTGGACTTGTGAAGGTGAATTATTTAACTAGCTGCAGGAGCTAGAGAAGGGCAATTTCCTTGTTAGTGTCATTAGTTAACCTCAAATCAAGAGGGACCGGCCATCGTTTATGAGACAAGAGAAACACGGAAGGTGTAAGTCTTGGGGCTGGGCAGTCCGCATTTGTAATGAGCAAGTCTTTTGCACCAGTTAGGGGAGGAAAGAAGATGCTAATGGGAACCAGCTGTGGTGAGCTGGTCCTCAGTTTGTGCAGGGGTCACACATAGCAAAGATGGCAAATCCACAGCAAAATGGAGCTACTTATGTCAGCTCTTAGCAGACTACTCTTAGCTCTGAGGAATCTACTTTTCTTAGAAATCACTTTTAAGACTAGCTAGCCTGAGCCGGCTCAGAGACTCTTTCCTTCCAATTCACTAAGTCAGTTTCCTGACCTCTCCGTTCCCCTACCCCCCCGTATTTCCCAGTCTCGAATGAAAAGTCATTCCTTTTCATTTAGTTTTTAAGCTTAAAAAGTTCTTTCAAAACTTAGTACCATCCACAAAAACAAGCGCCTGTACTTAATTGCTTTAAGTAATATTATGTAATTACTAATATATCACGTAGAATAATAATTTATCATTAAATCAATACGTAGTGCTTTAAGCAAGTCACTGTACATATGTTCTCTCATTTTGTCCTGCCAGCAACGATGGGAGGTAGATGCTATTATTGTCCCCATTTTACAGTTGAAGAAACTGAGACAAACAGAGGTTAAATGACTTGTCCAGGGTCACACAGCCAGTATCTGAGGCTGTATTTTAACTCAGGTCTTCCTGACTCTGAGTTTAGCACTCTTACCTACTAGACGCCCAGCTGCCTCATTTGCTGGTTACCACCAAGTTGGAGATATGATCATGGTTGTAAGCTTCAACAGTTTTCAGTGTATGTCATTTTTTTAAAGTATATATTGGCTTTAATGGGAGAGAAACAAAGTCCTATTTCCTTCTCTGTGGCCTTTTGAGCAATTTTCCCTTTGTGTATTTTTTCCAGGCTTTATCACAGGGTAAGCGTGGGCATGGTTTTCTTTGCTTCTTCCTCAGTCTGCATCGTGTCTTGTGTTCCCATATTGATTTCTACTCCTGTTTGTATTTTCTTATGGTGTAGTAATAGTGTTCCATTAAGCTAGTATCTCAATTGAGCCATTACCCAATTGGATGTGTGGACTGTTTCCAATTTTTGCTATCATGAACAACTATGAATATTTTGGCATTCATATTTTCCACTAGCTCATAGCTACCTAGAATATTCTCAATCTCATTCTCTCTCGGTCTCTCTCTCTCTCTCTGTGTCTCTCTCCTCTGTCTCTCTCTTCTCTCTTTGTTTCTGTCTCTCCCTCTCTCTCCTCTCTCTCTCTCTCTCTCCCTCGCTCTGTCTCTCTCTGTCTCTTTCTCTCTCTCTGTCTCTCTTCCCTCCCCTTCTCTGGTTCCTTCATTTCTGTCATTTCTTACCCATGCTCCTTTAGGGAGGGCCCATTTCCTATTGTCTTTACGTCTCCCAGCACCTGGCATACTTCCTGGCCCAGGGCAGATGCTTCACAAAATGAACTAAATGATTGTGTAATAATATTTCACTCTACTCTCATTTTTCTACTCTCATTTGTTTAGCCATTCATTTGTTTCCACTTGTTTTCAAGTTTTTGCTATTGTAAATATTGCTGCTAAGAATATTTTTGGACTTTTCTTCCTTTTAGGAGGAAAGCATATATGGAAAGCAGCATATATAGAAAACTTCCCTTCCCCCTGTGCTTTCTTTCTTTTTTATTTTGGAAGCATTGCTTTTTGTTGTGTAAAAGCTCTTTCTATAATTAAGCTTTATTTGCTCTTCTGTAGTTCCTTCCTTTTGTTTATTAGATATAAAATGGCAAACCTCCACCATGGTGATAAAAGCCACTTGTGTCTAATTCTTTTTATGCTTTTTAAATAAATGGATCACTGATTCAATTTAGAATGTATTGTGGCACATGAAGTGAGATGTAGTATCTAATTCCATTGTTACCATCGTACTGCTCTCCTGTTTTCACAGCACAGAATCTACAAGAAGGGCGGAAGAGGCCACGTGATTCAATAAGCATTTGCTAATGCCTGCAATGTAACCCTAATAGATGCAGGGAGTAAAAAGGCAAAAATGAAACAATTTCTGCCCTCCAAGAACTTTCTGTTTACTGAGTGGGTTGGTGGTGGCAGCAACGTGTATGGAGATAAGTAAATACAAAGTAATCCCAAATCTTTTCAGTGTGGAGACGACGTTGTTCCAGGGGGTGTTGGAGGTGGTAGATGAGGGACCCTCTTTATTGGAATTTCCTTCAATCATGAATGTAGATCTGGAGACGGCTTTTCTGTATTGGTTGCCGAGGGCTCCAGAACACCAAAGAGGTAAAGAACCCCTAGGGGTTCTTGGTCCAGAGTTCTTCCCACCATCCCCTGCTGCTTCACCCCCTCATTTTAGCCTCCTGAGTACTTTCTGACTCCTGTCATCTGATGGGTGAGCTTGCTGTCCCAGCTTTCTGTTGTTTGCATATTTGATTGCTTTGGCCCATTTTGTCTGAGTTGTTGATAAAAAGGAGTTTAATTGGACAGTGATCGCCCTACTCCCCAGTGCCTCACATTTTAAGTTTAGTCTTTTCTGCCATAAACTTCTTAAATTCATGGGGCCTTTTAAATGACTATATAGTGCCTTTTGACAGAATGAGAAGCTTTGCAGGGAAGCTGATTTGGAAATGAAGTGCTGGATTGCTTAGCTCGGGCTCTGTCCCAGCTTCTGTCATTTCTTATTGTTTTTTTCCTCTGTCACGTCACCGTTGTAGAAATCCCTGAGAATCGTGTGTCTGTCCAAGTTGAATGCGTGCTTCAGGCATTTTGGGCCTTCTCTTCTGTTGATCTGCAATCTCTTCCTGATTGTGTATGTGGGATATTTTTCCTTTATGACTCCTGAGATCCTTCGATCAGATCTGTAGGATGACAGCATGAGGGATTTGGAGGAGGAGAGATCTGAGAGATCATTCAGTCTGACCTCTTTATTTTAGAGGTGAATCCGAGGGAGATTAAGGGATTTGCTTCACATCGTGCTGGTATTAAGTAGCAGTACTGGGCTTCAAATCCAGCCCCCTGACTCCAACTCTGGCTCCCTTTCCACCAGACCACATTGTCTCTTCATCTTCCCTTTACAGTTTCAGGGAAATCCAATAATTCTGAAACTTTCTTCCCTTGCCCTTTTTTCCAGATTGCTCACTTTTGTCTGCAGAGCTTAAAAGTTATTTTCCAACTGAGTATTACCTGAGTTCATTTTTCTGCTGTTTCCATTCTGTCCACCCTTCTGTCTGCCAAGAAAATAGCTGGGTTTTATATTGAATCTCTTGTTTTTTAATGACGTCTATAAGTGGTTTCAGTGTCCTGGAACATAATTCAAAAATTGACATTGGTAGTATGCTGCTGTCTTCTACACTTTCTTGGGCTTCAATTCCCTCTTTCTTCAGTATTTTTTTTGGGTCTCCTTTAGCAAGCTGTCGACTTGTTTTTCATGATTTTCTTGCATCACTCTCATTTCTCTTCCCAGTTTTTCCTCTACTTCTCTTACTTGCTTCTCAAAATCCCTTTTGAGCTCTTCCAAGGCCTGGGACTGATTCATATTTTTCTTGGAGGCTTTGGATGTAGCAGCTTTGGCTTCGTTGTCTTCTGCAGGTTGTATGTTTTGATCTTCTTTGTCACCAAAGTAAGATAATACAGTCTGACTCTTTTTGCGCCGCTCACTCATGATCCCGGTCAATTACGTGAGTTTTAAACTCTTTGTTAAGGTAAGAGTCTGCTTCCAATGTGGAGAATGTACTGTCCCAAACTTCAGGGGTTTGTACAGCTGTTTTCAGAGATACTTCTAGGGACCTGTAAATTTCAGTTCTTCCAAGGTGGTATAATGAGGGGCGGGGTGTTTCCTCTCTACTGCCACAACAAACTCCACCACGCCAGCACTCCTCCTCGTCCCAGGACCGCCCCTCAGAACTGTGACCCAGATCCAAGCACTGGCAAAGCAAGAGATTCCTGCTTCAGCCCTGGCAAAGAGATTCCTGCAATCCCCCTCTGATCAGCCACTCGATTCCCCCTCAGTCTGTGGGCCGGAAGCTCAGGAGGCAGTCGCTGCCCCAGAGGCTGCACTCGGGATTTGCGACTGAGACCTAGCTCCTCTCTCACCACAGTCACAGACTTTTCCCACTGACCTTCTAAGTTGTCTTTGGTGTTTGTGGGTTGAGAAGTCTGGAAACTGCCACAACTGCCCGCAATTCAGTCCTCTGAGGCCTGTTCCAGGGTCGCTGTGGCCTGCGCGCCCACGCCGAACTGCGCTCCTCTCCCCGCCCGGCGTGATATACCTTTCCCATCAACCATCCAGGTTGTCTTTGGCTGGAAATTTGTTTCGCTCTGTCTTTTTGTGGGTTCTGCTGCTTTAGAATTTATTTAGTCATTTTTTTTTACAGGTATTTGGAGGGGTTTGGGGGAGAGCTCAAGCAAGTCACTGCTTTCACTCCGCTGTCTTGGCTCTGCCCCCCTTCAATTCCCTCTTAACAGAGTTTGTTTTACCTTTCCCAAAACGAGCATCTTTCTCCTTGCTGGAAGGCCCAGAAATCCAGACCTAAAGCAGTTTGTGTCCTCCCTCACAGAGATTAGTGGCTGCTAATGGTTCTCTTTTTCTGATTTCTTTCAGATTCCCTTAGTCGTTATGCCAAGCGTGAAATCCAGGGCTCACCTCCAACACATGGCAGCCTTCCCATGGGAGCTCCATTACAGCAAAGCCCACCAAAGGATGGTCCTTTGTATTCCAAAATAGGAAAAGCTGGGGAGTGGAATGTCAGGTTACAGAGACAGAAGACTAAACAGGAGAAACAATTCAGACAAGTAACAGTCACTCACAGAAGAGCTTTGAATAAGGGGAGTGTCCCCGAATGCAATACATTCGGAAGAAGCTTTAGTCTGGGGTCAATCTTTGTTTTACAGCCAAAAGTTCCTCCAGGAAGAAGCCTCCATAAATATGATACACCGGGAAAGAACATCAAATCCTTTTCAGACCTAATTAAGCGTAGTAGGATCTCCCCAGGGAGTAAGCTTTACAAATATAATAGATGCAGGAAGCCCTTCAGTTACCACTCAGACCTCATTCAGTTCCGTAGACTCCATCCTGGAGAAAAGCTGTATGAATGTAATGAATGTGGCAAAACCTTCGGCAGAAGGTCGTATCTTACTCAGCACCAGAGCGTTCACACTGGAGAGAAGCCCCACAAGTGTAATGCATGTGGGAAAGCCTTTAGTCGGTGGGGAAGCCTGACAGAACACCAGAGAATTCATACCGGAGAGAAGCCCTATCAATGTAACGAGTGTGGAAAAGCCTTCAGCCAGAGGGGGCATCTGATTAAACATCAGAGGATTCACACGGGGGAGAAACCTTTTCAATGTAACGAATGTGGCAAAGCCTTCACCCAGAGAGGGCATCTTATTGACCATCAGAGAACTCACACCGGAGAGAAGCCCTATCGGTGTAATGAATGTGGGAAAGCCTTCAGTACATGTTCTTCCTTTATTAAGCATAAGAGAATCCACATTGTAGAGATACCCCTTACTCAATGTGAGAAGGCCCTCAATCAGTGGGAACATCAAAGGATTCATACGGGGTCAAAGCCCTTTGAGTGTGATGACTGTGGGAAAACATTTAGCCAGAGGGGAAACCTTAATAAACACAGGAGAATTCACACTGGAGAGAAACCCTTTGCATGCAATGAATGTGGGAGAGCCTTCAGCCAGAGTGGTCACCTTACTGAACATAAGCGAATTCACACTGGCGAAAAGCCCTATCAGTGCAACGAATGTGGGAAAGCCTTTCGGCAAAACTCAAACCTTACTCTGCATCAGAGAATTCATACTGGAGAGAAACCTTTTAAATGTAATGAATGTGGGAAAACCTTTAGCCACAGGACTTCTCTTATTTATCATCAGAGAATCCATTCTGGAGAGAAGCCCTATGAATGTAATGAATGTGGGAAAGCTTTCAACCAGAGAGGAAAACTTACTGAACATCAGAGAATTCATACTGGAGAGAAACCTTTTGAATGTAAGGAATGTGGGAAAGCCTTCAGCCACAGGGGGAACTTTACTGAACACAAAAGAATTCATACTGGAGAGAAACCGTTTGTGTGTAATGAATGTGGAAAAGCCTTCAGTCACTGGTCATCCTCGATCTATCATCAGAGAATTCATAATGGAGAGAAGCAATATAAAAGCAACAGACGTGGAAAAGCCTTCAGTCAGAGGGGCCATCCTCTTCCACAGCAGAGAATTCATCCTGAGGAGAAGCCCCCCAAATTGAATGAGTGTGGGAAAGCTTCCAGTACCAGCTGAACCCTCTGGAAGTGTCAGGCCATTCAGGCCAAGTTGTAATGACCATGGGGATCCACTTGGGCCAGGTTCATGTCACCATAGAGACTTCAGGCATCTTCAAGGGGAAAGGTTTACATGGGGAAAGTTTCCTAAAGACTTGTCATTTGTCACATAATAGAGAGTCAAAACTGCAACATTTGGTGCATCTTGTTTGGTGCTTTGAGAGGTAATGACTGTTCTTGCTATGATGTCCCTCTTTGCTGTCATTGTGGGGAGGCACATTGCCGAAGTGAGGTCAGCACGGGAGGCTGATGCAGGATCTGAACCAGCCCCTAGCCTATGAGATTACAACAAATCACTTGGGGTACCTTTTTCTTCTAAACTCTATACTAGTAAACAAAACCTACATGACTATGACAAAAATAAAAAGAAGTACTCTTAGGTTAAATCATAAATTCCATTTTTTAAAGTCTGTTAAGCATTTAACAATTTCTATTAACTATGACAAGATGGCAACACAAACATCCCATTGGCTTCCTGGTTCCTTCAGAATGCTTTTTCCTCTGGTGATTTTTCAGAGTTAGGTTGTTGCTGTTACTTAGGTCTTTTTAGCCAATGCCTGTACTGTTCTTTTCATTTTTCTTGATTTTATTGAGTCTGTATCATTTCATAAAAATCTTCCCATAGTTTATTGTAATCTTTACATTTGTCCTTTCTTGAGGCACGCTGATATTCCATTACATTCACATATCCAGACGCATTTCACCATTCCCTCAATCATAAACACGTGGGTGGTTTCCAGTTTGGGGCTATTAGGATTAATGCCCCTATGAGTGTTTTTTTGTATGTGTCTTTTTCTCCTTCTCAGTAATTCCCTTAGAGTCTCATCTTAGAAGTAAAATCAATGGGTCAAAGAATATTAACACTTTTGTAGCATTTTATGCTTGTTTTATATTGCTTTCCAGAAAGTTTGGACCAGTGTACATATCTACTATCAATGTGCCTATTGTGAATTTCACAGTTCCATCATTGTTGAATTTTTATCATTTGATTGAACTATCTTTGCCATCCTAATGGGTCTAAGGTAGTCTTTTGAAGTTGCTTAATTTATATTTCTCTGATTATTAGAGTTGGAACAAATTTTCAACCCAAATCATTGTTATTTTGCAAAACAACTAATCTTTCAGTTTTCAGAGTAAAGGAATAAAAGATAGTTAAAAAGTGACTAAGGTGATTTTTTTTTTTTCACCAGAGACAGGGACATACTTAATATGAATTAAGTCTAGTTGGAATTTCTTTTGAGATTTAAATTAGTTTTGCTTGGGCTTGGATGGGTCCAATTTCTGCCTCTTCTGACCAGGGATTTAGCATAGAATCAAAGGAAGTCAACCCTGGAAGGGAGTATTCACCATCATCTATTATGAAGGTTCTTAACTTAGAGTTCTTGAACTTGTTTTTAAATATGTTTCAATCACTGTGTTTCAATAGCATTGATCTCCTTTTGTAATCTCACATATTTTATGCATTTAAAAACATGGTTTTGAGAAGGACTCCATTGTCTTCAGCAGCCTGCCTGCCCTAGAACACAAAAGAGGTTAAGACTCCCTGACCTAATTCATCTTCTACCTTTGGGGTTTGAGGATGTTGGGGAGAGCCAACAAAGTGCTTTGAATTTGTCTATTGGTGCCATAGTAGATGGGGAATTCCAACCTAGACAGCCTGAGAGATCATAATGGTCTACATCCTTTGGGTACAGCTGATTCTGAGGAGGAGATCTGGGAACAGGGCCTAGTGCTACAGTCATGATCAGTCGATACTTCTGCAGCAGCATTTGGGAAGAAGTGAAGTATAATTGAGGAACAGATTGACCGCCTGATTGATGTCTTGAGTACCGAGAGCCCTGGTCTCTCTCATACTCGTTCCAATGACTGGTGGCCCTCCCCATTCTTGTAAGCCTGAAGCAAATTCAGAATCAGAAGCAAATTCTTCTCTAATCCATTTGAGCTTCCTCTGTGGTTCTCTCAAAAATCCCTTCTTGATTTCACCTACTAACGTTCCACCCATTTTCTAATGTCTCCTACACTAAACCACCATGTTTTATCCATCTGCAAATCAACATCTTCACCTATTTCATCCCACTAGCAAAACAGTATTCAAGATGGAAATCCTCTGTGCTTCTTTTCAGTCAGCTTTATTAGTCATACAATCTTATCCCCAGGATCATATATGCAGGTATGGCACATGGCAAGGAGAAGGGCTACCTCATCACGTGAGATGGGGTGAAAGGGGAAACAGTGGCAGAAGGCATATAGAGGATACAAGATGAGAAGGAGGGGAGAGGAGTGAGCTCTTGGCAAATGGGCTAATTTTTTCCCATAAAATATGAGGCAAGATTCTTAGCAGAGAGAGTGAGGGAGAAAGGAGAGCTTTTGGAGGTTTGAGGAGGGATCAAAATGTTTAGAAGAGCCACTGTGGCAAGTGGGATAGTGAGTTAATTAGGGATTGCCTTGCTGTAGTGAGGGCCCGGTTGAGGTTCTGTAATAAATTTGTATTGGACCCAGTCAGCAGTTTCCTGATTTTCTCTACCTTTGTTCAACAGTATATACATAGGATCACTAAACAGAATGGTTAGCCCAATTTAGTACCGGGTTGGCTTACTTGTAAGGTTTTGAGTAAGGCATGTAGCTATTGACTGACTTACTCTATCTTTATCTGGCTGAGTGTTTGGGTTGACTCTAGAAATTCCTAAGTTTCCATTGAATCTCACATAGGAGACCAGTAGGGAAAGAGAGACTATTCCTCCTTCTGGTCTACTTGGTGTTCATAAGGAGAGTAAAAACAATGCCAACAAGTTTATTAAGTAGATAGCTGAATAAAGTACTATGGGGACTCTGTCTGCCTGGTACAGCCTCTGTCCAATAACTGGCACATACCAACTTCCTGCTTCCCTCATTTCTCTCATTTAGCACCTCCATTTCTAATCAAAAATTCCTTTTCTCTGGTAACATTTCCTCCCACTTACCTTCATCTGTCTCCCACATACTTAGGAATTGCTTTATCTGTGCCCTTTTTACACACTGCCTGTTTGGACCCCTGCTCTGTGGTTTAAAGACTCCCCTTTGACCTCTTCCCCATCTCCCTCCCCATTTCTCCTCCTCCCCCTTTTCATTTTCCTGGCACTAACTGAAAACTAGTTTTCTCTTGAAGTTAGCCCATCCTTCATCATCTGCTTTAATGGTGGCTGGGAGGGCCCAGATCAGAAAGGACTTTGAATGCTAACCAGAGGATGGATATGATCAGACCTGGCCTTTAGAAGGATCAGTTTGACAGCTGAATGGAGGATGAACTGAAGTGAGGAAGGACTTGTGAGAGATGCCACAAAGGTAACATTGCCAGGACTTGGCAACAGGTTGGATATGGAGGGAGAGACAGAGTGAGGAATCAACGAAGATACCTAGGTTGAAAGCCTAGGGGACTGAGCATTATTAGGAAGTTCAGAAGAGGGAGGGTTTAGTGGGAAAGAATAATAGCTGTTATATATAGAGATTTAAGGTTAACAAGGCACTTTGTAATATTATCTCATTTATCTTTAAAAAACCTGGAAGGTGGGTGCTAATATTACCCCCATTTTACATTTGAGGATATTGAGGCAGATAGCAGTTAAATGATTTATTCAGGGTCACATAGATAGTAAGTGTCTGAGGCTATATTTGAACTCGGATCTGCCTGACTGTAGGTCCAGCGTGCCATCCACTGCTGAATTCAATTTTGAACATGTTGAGTTCAAGTGTCTGTTGGACGCCCACTTTTAGATGTCTTATGGGAAGTTGCAGATGGAAGAGTAAAGGTCAGGAGATATTAGGGCTGGACAAGCAGATTTGAAAATCATCAGCGTAGAGGTGATAATTGAATCCATGGAGGCTCATGAGATTACCAAGTAAAATAATATGGTGGGAGAAGAGAAGAGGGTTTAAGATAGAGACCTGTGGAGCGCCCACTGTTGGCAAATGTGACCAAGACAAAGATCTGGCAAAGGAGACTGAGAAGGAGTGGTCAGAAACCTAGGAGAACCAGGACAGTGACATGGGAATCTACAGAAAAGTGAGGATCGAGAAGAAATGATCGATGATGTCATATGCTGCAGAGAGAATCCCTTGCTGTCTCGTTCTTTTGTTCTCATGCTCCCATCTTTCTCCTGCTTCTGTGGTTCCCAGGGCTAGCAGAGGGAGTCTTAAAACCAAGTTGCCTAGGTGCAGTACAACATCCTGCTCTCGAACCCTAACTGGACTCTCACTGGTCATTTTCAAGTCTTGTATTCGTCTCAGATTGATTCTCTATTACACTTAGTAAATATTTGGATTATCTACAAGGCTTCAATTCCACCCCACCCTCCTCAGCCCATGACGTGGCCTTTTTTTTTTTTTTTACTAAAATTAAGGAATCTATTGGCAACCCCTTCATCTCTTCTGCAAACCTCTGACTTCCAACAATACTCTCATCATTCCTTCATCTCCAATTATGAGTGTCTGTCCTTGCCAGTGCTAATTGCCGTGCTTGTACTTTTGACTCCATTCCCTCTGATCATTTCTGGGATCTCCATTCCTTGGCCGTTTCCCTCTCCTCTCTTTCTTTCTTCTCCTCCCTATCTTTTTTTGTTACTCTGTTCCCTTGGTTTCACGGTGGACTACTGTGGAAAGAGTGACACTCAAACCATGTCTCTGTCACTATCTGTGACTTCAGGCAAGGAATTGAATCTTCTGGGTTTTAGTTTGCTCTTCTGTAAAATGAGAGATCTGGTCAGGGTGACCCACCAGGTCCCTTATAGCTCTGAATTTGTGATCCAGTGATGCTGCTTTCTTGGATGGATCTCAAACTCTGTCCTCAGCCCTCCTTCCGCTCTCTTTCTTCATTATTGCCAAGCCTCTCCCATGGCTTCCAGTATTACCTCTATATGGATGATTTCCAAATCCATAGCCACCCCCTTCGGCAATATCTTCCTTCAGTTTCAGGGCCCTATTTCCGATTGCCTTCTGGCCATCTCTATTCCACTCTCCTGCTGGTACTGACCTGTCACTCACACCAACTTCTTTTTTATAAGGATACCACCAGTTGTCCCTCCCCCCACCCCCTGCCTACCCAGTTGCTCAGGCCTAAAGCTTCAGGGATATTTTCAACCTTTCCTTCTCCCTCATATCCAATTGGCCACTAAATCCACACAACTTTACGGCTACAATATCTCTTTTTTTGGGAGGGATGGGAAAATTACATCTTTATTTCAACATAAGCGATTTCCTTGGTAATCTTATGTATTTTATTGTACACATTTAAAGGCATTAAACTGAGAAGGGACCCAGACTGCCCAAGGGGTCTGTGATCCAAAAAAGGTAAAGAACCCCTCCTCTAAAGAGTTACTAAGCAAGTCTCTCTGACCAGTAATTTTGTTGTCTATAAAATGGGGATTACCATACTTGTTCAAGCCCTATCTCTGACACGTACTAATTGTGCCACCACGGGCAAGCCACTTAGCATCTCTTAGCCTCAGTTTGGTAAGATGAGGCTGACGATACTTGCCACTTCTACGTTGGGACGTTGCCAGTTGTTAAGAAGTTTTTCACGCTACTTCCAATCTCTTCTTCTGTGCAACATTAAACTGAATTAGTCCCTGTCCACAATCA